GGAGCTAAACTCTGCAGGACAGCGGCTCTCTAGGTCTGAACTTGCCTACCCCCTGAACCAGCAGTTCCCAACCACGTTCCGTTTCCCCGTTCCACGCATTATTACGATTACGTGCTGGCAGCTGATGTGGTCTATCACCACGACTGCCTCGCTGAGCTTCTTGACACCATGCTTCACTTCTGTCAAATGGGGACAACGGTAATCTTTGCAAACAAGGTCCGGTATCAGTCAGATCTGGTATTTATTGAGAACTTTCAGAAAGCTTTTAACACCACATTACTGACAGAGCTGGACGAGGTGAGGATTTACTCAGCTACCATGAGAATCTGATGACGTGAACCTCAATGCACCGCTTTGAGAAGGCTTTCTGAACTACACTGCTGGCACAAGTAGAGGAGGTGAAGATATGTGGCTGTGGCTCACGTTTGTTTAAGGAACCAACACCATGTTCACACTGCAGACAATTCCCATTGGTTTTTTACATCAATCTGCCAACATTGACGTTTGCAAGTTATCAAATCAGCATCTTTAGGTAATTTCCAGATATATTCATTTGACGTCCAAATATGGGCCAAGACTTACAACAATAGGTTGGCAGTGTTATAATATTTGGATCGGCCCAATTCTTTTTTGCTAACTTGTCAAATCTTCGTATACCAACTTTGTGGAACTCAGATTTCAAACTAAATAGGATTTCTTTTACATGTGGCCAACTCAAATCCAATTACTTACTTGTGTTTTTTGATTGGTTTAATTTCTATTTTCACATTTCTTTCCAGACTATACATTTACGTGGTGTCATGTGATATTAGATGAGATCCATTCCAGTCAGATCAGAATTCAAGTTGTTTTTGTCATCTTTCAGTTTGATTTGGACTGAACTCATTCTGATTTGATCAACTGCAAAAGAACAGCACGAACATTAAAACCTCAAGATGGGTTTTGAAAAACAAATCCGAATTGTCTGCACTGAAAATAAAGCCATGCTGATTATAGATGTAGACGCTTATGAAAACGAATCCGATTGAAATTTTGTTTTGTGAACCTAGACTACAACAGGATAGAGAATTTATAAAGAGTTTGTAACTAAACCTTTGCACAAATATACAATAAATACTGTAATGAATTATTCACGAAACAAAAGTTTCAACAGAACATGGACATAATTATTGAACCTTTAAAAAAAAACACATCCGGAGGGTAAAATGGTGAGCAATACAAGTTTAGGATGTTTAAATAGAGTTTAAATTATTTAAACTCTATGTAAAATACTGAGAAAACAGTTATTACCGCGCTGTAATGGGAGAACGCTGTGCTTAAGAAATCAAAAGTAAATTTCAGATGAAATACATTTCTTAATGAAAATTAATTATTGTGCTATGCACATAACCATACAAGACTATTATCTTACAAATATTGTTTACTACATCAAAAAGCGTAACCTAATGTGAATCTAAAAAAAAGTAAACTTTTTTTTTTTAACATTTGTACTAAAATGTGATTAAATTGTCAAAAAATGAGCAAAATATTGTCAGTTCCAGATAATTTTATTCAGAACCTTCATCAAATACACTGTTCAGCACATTTACGGTGTTAACAAAATAAGCGGCTGTTACTTCTGAAACGTCTCACGAGGCGAAATGGATATAAAATAACACCTACCAACTCTATGCATGAATTAAAATGACTCTAAAATATTGGCAGTACCCAGTATTCATTTATACTTTATAAATACAAGATAAATATATCTGAAGATATTCAAGGGTTTTTGATACAGAATTCTGTGATATTTCCTGAAGAAACGCAGAGGTGGACGGGGTTTGATGAATATTTAAGGCCATTTTTGAAGAACCTGTCGTTTGAGCTCTGAGCATCAGCGACCAATGCAAACACACGTGATGGAAAACTGATGAAAGATCACACCACCGATGCGTTTCCAAGCCCTCTGAGGAAAAGTGAGCGCAGGATGTGATGTCACAAGTGAAGACACACACAGCATGAACTGCTGGCTTCGTTTCTTACTTTTCTTCCTTAGTATTTAGTCTTGTTTTCTAGTATAAATACCGAAGAATTCTGGAATTAAGGTGCATTTACTTGAATATAAAACAACATATATTTTGTCTTCGTAGCCAGACCTTCAGACTGACGGCAGAAGGTCTGGGAATGTTAGCCGCTTTGAATGGCCAAGGCCCGCCCAAAAGACCACATGACTGACAGGTAAAGCAACCAATCACGTTTCATTTTGTGTCACGTCATGTTTAGGGCCGTGGAAATGTCCCCCACAATAACAGACCGGTGTGTAAAACTCTTGACATATTTTAAAGATTCTATGCCGCAAATTTTAAATATTTCACATAATCCAGTGTTTAGTTGATCCTGATAAGCGCTAATCGTCACAGCTGTAAACACAACGGCTTTCTTCTTCCATGAGGGGTTTGGCCAGGAGGAACGTTAAAGAACAAGACGCACCCATCTCCTGAAAATCCTGTATAATTTAACCAATCCGATGACGACTCCGAAACTCCTGAAGTGTTTCCAATTTTGTGTGCCGTATGCATCAGACGTTTAGCCAATGGTCCGTGGACGTGACGTCTGAGGCTGATATTACTCCAAGACCTGACCCAACACACCTGCCTAGAGTTTCTAGTAATCCTAAAGACCTTGACTAAACTTGTTCAGGTGCGTTTAAATGGGATTTGAGCTGAACTCTGCAGGATAGTAGCCCTCCAGGAGCAGAATTGGACACCCCTGGTTTAGACTAAGCTTAAGACCAAAACTTTTGTAGGTGCTAAACTGACAGCCACGGATCTGCCAGAAATCCTCGGTAATCTGAGGTGCAACTTGAACCGGAATACTAGGTGGCACTGGAGACACGAGCCTCAGGTTACAGCATTGCAATGGGGCTACAAACTGGAGGAGATTGTTTCTTTAGAGAAAAGTATTATCTTTCCTATTTTTACCCAAAAAGGGTGTTGTGAGCATTAATGAGTACACACGTAATGAAACTCCACATGCATCGCATAAGTAATACACTACTGATGACGCTCCAGGAAATCCCTAATATGGACAAAGGTATCCAGTTATCGCTGAATAAAATGCACAATGGAGATAGAGAAATAACAAAAAGAAGTTATTTCAAACACTCAACTAAGTCATTAAGTTAATTTGAAGAAAAAGCATGTCAATAAATGATATCTTTGTTGGACAACAGGTTTGTAAACAGGCTCATACATGCAAAACTGTATTGCACACGTGCTACTGTAGTACATTTATTCAAGGCTCGGACCGATTTTTTGTCGCACTGTACAGCCCTGACCAAACCAGTTCCAGATTGTAGAAGGAGCTCCTCGTTTAGCGATCAACTCCTCCTCAATTTCACGCCCGCCTTCCGTGATGTCGCTCTGCACGGTTGCCCACAGAAATGTCAACAACTAGACTTTATCATTATATCGCGGGAAGACTAATTATTATCGTGGGGAGAATTTTCAGTAGCCCCTCACTGCAGAACATAGCTTGTTTTCTGAAAATATTACTCAAATTTTATTAGTTTTTGCTTAAAACTAATAAACAAAAACCTTATTATAGTCTTAATTCAAAGGCTAAACAAGATAATTTTTCTTACCCCATCGGCTGATATTTTTACTTGTTTTAAGCAAAAACGAACACAATTTGGATAAGATATTATGTCTTATTTTCTGACAAGTTATCCACATTTTGTTAGTTTTTGCTTAAAACAAGTTAAAATATCTGCCGATGGGGTAAGAAAAATTATTTTGTTTAGCCTTTGAATTAAGATAATTTTTCTTACCCCACTAGCAGTTCTAGCAGTTTTGTTTTTATTTTATTTTATGTAAAGCACTTTGAATTATATTGTCAGTTCCAGATAATTTTATTCAGAACCTTCATCAAATACACTGTTCAGCACATTTACGGTGTTAACAAAATAAGCGGCTGTTACTTCTGAAACGTCTCACGAGGCGAAATGGATATAAAATAACACCTACCAACTCTATGCATGAATTAAAATGACTCTAAAATATTGGCAGTACCCAGTATTCATTTATACTTTATAAATACAAGATAAATATATCTGAAGATATTCAAGGGTTTTTGATACAGAATTCTGTGATATTTCCTGAAGAAACGCAGAGGTGGACGGGGTTTGATGAATATTTAAGGCCATTTTTGAAGAACCTGTCGTTTGAGCTCTGAGCATCAGCGACCAATGCAAACACACGTGATGGAAAACTGATGAAAGATCACACCACCGATGCGTTTCCAAGCCCTCTGAGGAAAAGTGAGCGCAGGATGTGATGTCACAAGTGAAGACACACACAGCATGAACTGCTGGCTTCGTTTCTTACTTTTCTTCCTTAGTATTTAGTCTTGTTTTCTAGTATAAATACCGAAGAATTCTGGAATTAAGGTGCATTTACTTGAATATAAAACAACATATATTTTGTCTTGTTTTCTGAAAATATTACTCAAATTTTATTAGTTTTTGCTTAAAACTAATAAACAAAAACCTTATTATAGTCTTAATTCAAAGGCTAAACAAGATAATTTTTCTTACCCCATCGGCTGATATTTTTACTTGTTTTAAGCAAAAACGAACACAATTTGGATAAGATATTATGTCTTATTTTCTGACAAGTTATCCACATTTTGTTAGTTTTTGCTTAAAACAAGTTAAAATATCTGCCGATGGGCTAAGAAAAATTATTTTGTTTAGCCTTTGAATTAAGATAATTTTTCTTACCCCACTAGCAGATATTTTTTACTTGTTTTAAGCAAAAACTAACAAAATTTGGATAATTTCTTTCAGAAAACAAGACATAATATCTGAAGTCATTTTACTCGTCAAGTAAATGCATCTTAATTCCAGAATTTGTAATTAAGTGAAGAAAACAAGACATAATATCTGAAGTCATTTTACTCGTCAAGTAAATGCATCTTAATTCCAGAATTTGTAGATATTTATACAAGAAAACAAGACAAAAATACTAAGGAAGAAAATCATTTTTTGCAGTTCACGAAGGGATATGCAGAGATGATCTGTTTTCAATGTCTAAACCCTGAAGAATCACTCGAGACACACAAGATGAGCGCACACATTTAAACGCTAAAAGAAAGCGTGACAATCTCCGCTTCACTTACACACCCAAACGACAAATTCAGAAGGAAATATTCGAGTCCAGGCTCAGAACATGAGAAAACTTGGACTTTCAATCACACAAAAGCTCAGACTTTTGAACATGAAACATGAAATGACACTTGTGTCTTTATTGAACATGCATGCATTTGACTTACATAAGGGTCAATCATATATAAAAACAAAAACAAAAAAAACAATTCACCCCAAAATGTAAAAACAAAATGCAGAAATAAAGTTAGTTTTCCTTGATTTTAGTCACTGTCCATCATATTGCCTTGACGTTTTCTGTGTTCAGAAGCTCATCTGACCTTTACGCTGTTATTGTTGTTAAAGGGGAAAAATGTCCACTGTGCAAATGCCCAGTAACTACATAATGCAAGTTATTATACAAGTTCCCCTTAAAAAGAGACGAAGGCTGGAGCGTCACGCGAGTACACAGCGATATGATTCAAGCTGTAGCATGAGAACTGTGGGTTCAGTGCTGTGATCCGCACAGAAAGGCATTGTGGGATCCGTGAAGGACCGTGTGATATGAAGTGTTTGCTTCCTGAAGGCATTAAAAGTGTCCTCGGTTAAAACCGAACGACTTTAGAAGGGCGTGTAGTCAGACGGGAACATGATGGGCAGCCAGTTCTCAGAGTACAAGACGAGGTGCATCCAGCCTAGAGAGCGCATCAGCTGCAGAGACGCACAACACAACACAACAAATCATCTTATTAGTGTCCCTGGAGCACAAAAGCAGTGTTAAGTCGCTGGGGTATATTTGTAGCAATAGCCAACAATACATTGTTTGGGTCAAAATTATACATTTTTCTTTTATGCCAAAAATCATTAGGATATTAAGTAAATATCATGTTCCATGAAGATATTTTGTATGTTTCCTACCGTAAATATATCAAAACTTAATTTTTGATTAGTAATATGCATTGCTAAGAACTTCATTTGAACAACTTTAAAGATGATTTTCTCAATATTTAGATTTTTTTGCACCCTCAGATTCCAGATTTTCAAATATCGTCCTATCCTAACAAACCATACATCAATGGAAAGCTTATTTATTCAGCTTTATTCAGATGATGCATAAATCTCAATTTCAAAAAATGGACCTTTATCACTGGTTTTGTGCTCCAGAGTCATGTTTTACAGGAGAACAGAACTTCATCCACATTTACTGCACTGATTATGAGGGAAATCAGTGGAATTATGCAGAAAGTGTTTAGTTACACAGAAAAGCGTTAGATGGAGATCAGAGCACCGTGACACAGCATCAGCCAAAATATTAAATAAAAATACAAAACATGAGAGTGTGTGGGATTTTACAAATAACAGAGTATGTGGGAAAACTGAGGAGCTTTATGCAAATTCAGTTTGGGATCAGTAAGATTTCTTATTTGTTTTGAAAGAAATTTAGTTTTATTCATCAAGGATGCTTTACATTGATCAAAAATGACAGCAAGAAATGTATATGTTACAAAAGACTTCTATTTCAAATGGATGCCTTTTTTAATGTTTCTATCAAATAATCTCTTAACTTTTCTTGTACATTTTCTTGTAATTATGACACGGTATTTCAACATTTCGACTCATAATTGACTTATCTCATAATTAACTTTTTCTTGTAATTAAGATTTAGTATCTCATAAGTTTATCTCTTCTCATATATCTCCTGACTTTGTATCTTAATTTCGCCTTTCTGTCTCATAACAGGCATTTCTTTTGTCATAATGAAAGACACTGAAGACTGGAGTAATGAAGCTGAAAATACAGCTGCGCATCACAGAAATAAAATACAGTTTAACAGATATTCACTTAGAAAACAGCTGTTTTACATTGTAATATTATTTCACAATTTTACTGCATCTTTGATTAAATAAATGCAGCTTTGCTGACATCTTTCAGAAACTCTTACCTGTATGCAGTTCTTCCAGTTCTCTTTGCTGGGTTTGTCCTCGACGATCTTAGTCGCGAACTTCAAGGCTCTCGCGTACATTTTATTTGCCAGCGCGTGTTTGTAGGAAAATGCTAGAACCTGCAAAGAAGATATCCTCACGTCAAATAACATATTCAGAGAATTTGTAGTTACTTTAAGGTATTTCTTTTATAAATATTTTTTAAATTACCTTATGTCAAAAAATGTAATTTTTCACACACACACACACACACAAAATTACATCTTGTTGCAACATTTTACAAAAATCACGATTGAGTATATTTGGTCAAAACCTCATGTTATAAACAATGAAGTGCGATGCAGGCTATTTAAGACAATAATATTAGCTAATGCTGACTTAAAATGCAAAATGTTTGCCCTCTCTCTTCAGCATTCCCACATCTCAGACCTCAAATACATCAAATATCACCCTTTTTAGACATAGTTTTCAAAGTAAAGAATAAAGAAAATACTATACAAAACATATTGAAGCCATCATGTTAAGACTGTGTCTTAAAAACAAGTTTGACCAACTAGCCGCTGCCAAGATCAGTCTTACTCTTCCAATACAAATAAGACCAATCTACATTTTCATAACTTAATTAAAAAAGTTATGAGCAGTCGTGAAGAAAAAACATTAGATGACTAATGTTTTAAGACTAGTCTAAACAGTTTATGCAACCGAGCCCTAGTTCTTTATTTATGCAACCGAGCCCCCCCTCCCCTACTTTCTCACTGGACTATTTTGATCTCAAAAAAGTGAGTTTGCATGCATGAATATTACAGTAATTAAATAACTAGCACACTTGTAAACACTGGACGTCCGTACCTTAGAGTCGGTGAGCTCTGTCCACTTCTGCAGCTCCCAGAAGGTGTCTGTCAGCACTTTGGCCTGCGGCTCGTCCTCAGAGCTGCCCACTTCAGCTGCGCTGGAGTCCTCCTGCGCAGACGTCTGCATCAGCTGATCCGCCAGAGCGCAGCCCTTCCTGCAGAGCGCATCCAGCAGAGACGCCTTCTGCTTCTCCATGTCACTGCAACAACACCAGACACGCTCGACACCACACCAACAATGATCCTGAAGCATGTACACTACCGCTCAAACGTTTGGGATCAGTAAGACTTGTAATGTTTTTAAAAGAAGTCTCTTATGCTCATCAAGGCTGTGTTTATTTGATCAAAAATACAGAAAAAAACCAAAATGTTTTTACAATATAAAATAATGGTTTCTATTTTAATATCCTTTCAAATATAATTTATTTCTGTGATGCAAAGCTGAATTTCCATCATCATTACTCCAGTATAAAGTGTCACATGATCTTCAGAAATCATTCTAATATGCTGATTTATTATTAGAATTAATGTTGGCTACCAAATATTTTTTTTGGAAACTGCGATATTTTTACAGGATTCTTTGATGAATAAAAAGTTAAAAAGAACAGCATTTATTCAAAATATAAATCTTTGCTATCACTTCTTATGAATTTAACACATCCTTGCGGAATAAAAGTTTTAATTTCTTTCAAAAAAAGAAAGAATAAATTGTTAGAATATATATTGATTATATATATAGATTGTATATTGTTAGAAAAGATTTCTATTTTAAATAAATGCTCTTCTTTTTAACTTTTTATTCATCAAAGAATCCTGAAAAAAATAAATTACATTTTAATGTATATTAAAATAGAAAAATGTTATTTTATTTCATAATAATATTTCGCAATATTACATTTTTTCCTGTAATTTTTGCTCAAATAAATGCAGCCTTGAGCAGATGAAACTCCTGTAAAAACATTAAAAATCGTTCTGATCCCAAACTTTTCATTAAAATGTAATTTATTTCTGTGATGCAAAGCATCATTACTCCAGTCTTCAGTGTCACATGATCTTCAGAAATCATTCTAATATGCTGATTTATTATTAGAATTAATGTTGGCTACCAAATATTTTTTTTGGAAACTGCGTGTAAAAACATTAAAAATCGTTCTGATCCCAAACTTTTGACCGGTAGTAATGATGATGATGTTGAGAAATAATTCCTTTGTCAACTAAACAGAAGGTTTATGTTTCCCTGCAGTTTTCAAAAGCTTGATGATTTCAAGGGAAGAATTTAAGACGAATATCAGCAGTGAAATTTTACTATTGTTGTGTAAAATAAAACTTAAATTATTATTATAAATAATTATCAGATATACATATTTTACTTAACACTACACATTTTTAGTTAACACTACATAATAATAATTATTATTATTATAAAAATAATAATAGTAGTAGTAAATACTCAGTTTTTTACTCAAAAGTACAAAGGTAATATATTGATATATTATTTTATATCGGTTATATACAAGATTGTTTAAATGATTACTATTATTTTTTAGTTAACAGTACAACAGTAATATATTGCAATGTTAATTTTTAAAACGGTTTAAATTATTATTAGTAGTAGAGGTATTTTCTACGTACCAGCACAATGGTAATCTACTGCTAATAATCTACTGCTTAATTTTTAAAACATTGTTTAAATTATTACAAAATAATAATAATAATAATTATTATTATTAATATTATTAATAATAAAAATAATAATTTATTATTATTATTATTAAGAATATTTTTAATTAGCAGTACAATGGTAAGCCATTGCTTATGAATTATCTATTGTTTAAATTATTACAAAATAATAATAATAATAATTATTATTATTAATATTATTAATAATAAAAATAATAATTTATTATTATTATTATTAAGAATATTTTTAATTAGCAGTACAATGGTAAGCCATTGCTTATGAATTGTCTTAATTATTAAAACGTTGTTTAAATTATTACAATAATAATAACAATAATACCATTTATTACTACTATTATTATTATTTCCAGTACAATGGTAATCTATCGTCTTATAATAATTGAAACAATGTTTTAAAAATTAACAATAAATAAATATGTTCAAATTGCAATCACAATACATGACAAAATAATTAGTGCAGCCCAAATAAAATCTGGTAGAAGTTATTTTTCTAACAGTAAAAGACGGCTGATGCTCAGTACCTCTTGATGGAGGCGGCGTCGGGCCGTGGATCCGTCTTCAGGGTGAAGTAGACGGCGAGAGCGGTCTGGTCGATGTGAGACACCACCGCATCGGCTGCAGCTGCGATCTCTGGCAGGCGCTTCGAGCGCTCCTGAGGACACAGAAGAGCGTCTGTCATGCGGTCTGTGTGAGCGAGGACAGAACGAGCCGATGTGTGAGCGCACCTTCTCTGAGTCCAGCTGATGCAGTCTCTGCACATGAAGAGGCAGGTGTGTGGGGAACGCCTCCTTTAGCTCCTCGAACAGCGAGCTGCTCTCCAGCCTGAGGATAGAGCGATGCACTGATCAAAACTAGGCTGCTCTGGTCATGTGACAATTTGCACTAACCATGTGACACTGCACATATTTAATGGAGACCCTTTATTTTTTCCATATTTGCAGAAAATGCACTAAAACACCAGGCAGTAACATTTTTAGAGCTTTATAAATGAAAACCTTCTTTTCGGTCACTATTGTGAGCGGTGGGATTAAATGGGTTAACACCGACTATCTCAAAAAGCCTAATCAAAACACAGTTCATGAGTGCGACTGACTTGGTCATCCACTGGATCTTTAGGTCTCGCAGCGCTTCAGTGAACTCATCCTTCACGTCCTTCTCCTTCTCCGCATCCTTCTCCTTTTCTCCTTTTCCATTCTTGGTTTTGTTGGGAGCAGGAACCAGGTGGTAAAAGATTGGCACGATATCCTGCATGAGAGCAACACCAGAGATGATACTGCTGGATCACATTACCCACAATCCCTCAAATCCATCTGCACTGTCTGTTCATGTGGATTAAGTGCGTGTGTGTGTGTGAATGAGTGAGTGCGAGAGAGTGAGTGAGAGAGAGAGGGCTGGGCAGTATGATGATATATATATTCTACTTGTAGATTAGTGGACAGTTATGTTTGATGAACATTTTCAACTCGAAGATCCCAACTGTCCAACAACAATATTTAAAGGGCTCCCAAAAATATATAAATATAAAAAGCAAAGAAAAATATTTTATTATTATTATTAATTTTAATAATATTACAATTCCACAATTTTGGAATAATAATAATAATAATAATACTTATTAATATTATTAAATCAAAATTTAACATGACTTATTATTATTATTATTATTAGTGTAATACATTAATATTCTACAGTTTTGGGGGAAATAAACATGATTTTGTGTGTGTGTTTTGTTTTTAGGCATTTTAAATTTAGATTATCTTTAATTTTAGATCATTTTAATATATTAAATTATTCGTTTGAAAACTTTTAAATCATCCTGGGGACCCTTTGGAAATTTGCCAAGACATACTTGTTGAGAAGCACTGATTTACATTATTGAGAGTGATGACGATTCAAATGAGTCACTGATGTGAACCTAAATGTTATGAATCTTTTGTTAAGTTCTGAATAATAACAGAAGATAAATAACTTGATTATCAAAAACAGACAATAACATGTGTTTACTGAATATAGAAACCATCTTTTGGTTGGATTTCCAGCAAAAACATTGTATTGGTCATGCTGCCCAGCACTAGTGTGTGTGAGTGTGAATTTAGTGTTTGTATTATTCACATAATAGTGTTATTAAATGGCTCATTTAATCGGGCCCCTGCAATATAAATACATTAAAAAGAAGAAGTTTTGTTCTTTCTCTATCCGTCCAGTACCTTTTTAAATTTTCCTTGTCGTTTGGCTGAAGCATGTCCCTGCTGGTCAGAATAACACACATCAGAGAGAGAATCTCACACACACACACACACACACACCTCTCTATCCTCTGCTCTCTACTCCTTCACATCATCATCATGATTCACTGTAAGGTGCAGCAGTACAGGATGATCAAGTCTCTCAATCACTTTGCAAAAAACCAAAACAGGTCTTGATAGTCCACACTTTCATTGCATGATATGGACTAGCAGACTGCAGTTAGAGTTAGAAATTCAATATATGGGCAAAAATGTTTAGATTTCTATATGATAACTATCACATGAGCAAGAGTGCTGTTTTTCTAAAATATCTGCATGCTTGCAGATGTGGTATTGAATTTATGTAACAGTTCAGCAAACAAGAAGGTAATATCGTGAGTTACAATAAATCAGTGTTTTGGAACAAATCAATGATCCATTTATAAAGAGAGTCACTTGCTTTGTTCATGAATGAATCAGCCATTTATTCGAATCGGTTGAGTGAATAACTCAATGACTCACTCAAGAAAGTCATTTGCTTCGTTCATGAATGAATCAGCCATTTATTCGAATCAGCTGAGTGAATGATTCAATGATTCACTCATTTCGGATTGTGCAGTTGCTCTCCACCGACTGCGCTGATCAAAAGCATAATGGGAAACGACTGACTGACAACACAGCTTAACAGCAGCTTAATGCTCATTGGTTCAGACAACCGTGATGCTGCGTTCTCATCTAAAATGTTTTATTTTTTTTTTTATCTGATTTCATGTGATTATGTATTTAAATTATGCATG